TGGGCATCCCACCCTCGGTTTCAAAGTATATTTTCCTCTTCTCTCATTCAGTTCTGTTTTAGTGCAGTAAACTGTTAAAGATCTAAAATAAAGAAGAAATATAGAGCATGAACAACTTCAACAATAAAATCCTGTATTATTTAAGCATCTACCATACTCCAGTGACTATATTTTCAGAGTTGGTGGGAAATAGAAAGGAGATACACATGTCTGTTATCAAAGAATGCAAATATCCTGTTCCCAAGGAAATTAACACTATCAACAGGTGTATTTTGGGGGGAATTATGCAGGATGATACTTTGTGTTTTATATAGTGAAACATTTGTGAAATTTTAAGGGAGATTCCCATGATAAATTCTTGGGTTTCTCTTGGCTCCTCAAACCCAACATCAAATTTCAAATCTTGTAGTTATCAGTATTTATTTTTCACATAGAAGCAAACTACAACAGTAGCCAGGATTAGACCCTCTTCCTGAAGTTACTCTTCTGGGGTATTAAAAGAATAGTTCATGTGTGGTATCTTGAAAGATTCTAAGAATTACCATTTTATTTATTCTTGCCTATCTGGAAGTACTGAAGGCAGGCGGAGTACTACAGTCAGAGAAAACCACCCATCTGCCTCCCCTGTGCGGAAAAGAACAAGTTATCAAGTAAATCAATAAAAGTGCCTCCCACAGATGACTAGGAAAATGGCTCCCATTGCCATTTCCCTTCCTTCTCAACTAATGGCTTCAACCTTCTCTGTTGGTCTTCCGCTCTAAATCACCAGTATGGAGTCAGTTACCTTATTGAATACAGAGTATTTATCTTGATATCTATAATTTATGCCTCTTGATGGCGTTCTTCAGAAATTAAAAGATAACCGATTATATGTCCTCCTTTGCCCCAGAGCTGACCAACTCATTTCCCATCCTCACGTTATCAGAAAAATGAAGTAAAATGCCACTTTAGACTGCCATGATAAATTTCTTTAATCACAACTGGAAAACTTTGGGAAGAAACATATTTGGGAGAGAGAAGAGAGACGTACATATTATATTTGTGTTTTTTTCCTCTTCCCTTTAATGGAATAGTTATATGAAAATGAGACCTTAATTTGTGGGGCGCCTGATGGCTCAGTTGGTTAAGCACCTGCCTTTGGCTCAGGTCATGATCCCAGGGTCCTGGGATCAAGCCCCGCTGTAGGACCCCTGCTCAGTGGGGAGCCTGCTTCTCCCTCTCCCTCATGCCGGCCCCCCCGGCTTGTGCTCTCACTCTCAAATAAATAAATAAAATCTTTAAAAAAAATACCTTAATTTGTGTAGAGTTTAGTGTGTTACAGTTTAGTTCTCATCTGAATCTACTGTGCTTCTTAAGATTTCACTGTTGAAATGCTTGTGCAATAATAGTATAAGGATGTTTGGCACATCACCTGTGTACCACAGCCCACAGATCTCCAAACAATTTAGAAATATTTGCAAATTAATCCTCTTTACATCCCAGTACATTATTCATTTTGAGTCTGTGGATGGGGAACAGGAGATTGGATTCCAGAGTGGAACAGCATATTCCATCCGATTATAGGGAAGAGATAGGAGGGTGACTTAATTAGGGTGCACAAACTATGTGGCAGATTCGGGAGCCAAAAAGATGCTATTCCTCAAATATGCTAAATGGCAGATGGCCATATCCTACACTTTCACAGTGCAGTGGCTCTGAGTATGGACTTTGGATTATGCCTCTGGATTGGTATCCTAGCTTTGTCGCTTCCATGCTTGGGAGCAAGTTCTTTACTTGTTTCATGTTCCTCAATTGTAAAATCAAGTTCATTCATGTAAAATCCAAGTCATACCTACCTCGCACAGTTGTTGTGATGATTAAATCACAGAATGATCCTGGCACATACGGTAAGTCTCAAAGTTAGATATTTTGTGGTATTATTTTCTCCATTGGAATATATTGCCAAAGTCATAGCAGAAGTGAAAGAAGCCAAAACACTCAGATCCCATTTTACCTCTGTTCAAGAAAAATCTACTTTCAAGAAAGCCATCTATAAATACCTTAATTCTAGTCACCAAATCTAAATGGATTTTGTGTCAAAGGTCACATACTTATAGTTTAATGTTACACTTTTTAAAAAGTAATCTCTACACCCAACGTGGGGCTCGAACCCACAACCCTGAGATCAAGAGTCATATGTTCTATACTGACTAAGCCAGCCAGGCGCCCCAGGTTAATGTCATACTTGATCCGTGCATTCACATACTCATTCAACAAGCGTGTATGGGGCACATTCCAAGCAAGGCATGGGTTTAGGTGCTGAGAACTCAAAGTTTGGATAGGATAGATATGATTTCTGCCCTGCTTCTAGACTGGGCCACAGGAACTGGACTGGGCATAACAGCGGAGATAGAAAGGGTCAGAGGAGGAGCAGAAAGTTTGGGAACATCATAAACTTAGTACCTGGAAATTGGTGGTTTTAGCTGCTTTGGAGGTCCGAGTTATCTCTTTTATGTTCCTGGGTTTATAATGTGTCTCTCTATACCTCTCTCCATTCTGCCCTCTGTACCCTCATGTATCCCTTCTTTTCTGGGGGTTATTCCACATCTGAAATCTGAAGGATGCTAAATTCCTGGTCCTTTCCCCTTCTCAGCAGCAGGGACACTTGGCATCGTGGAGAAGGAAGATGGTACTGCTGTCGTGGGAGGACCTGTGAAGCACTTGGCCTCATCCTTTAGATGGCTCCAGGTGGGAGGTAGAGAGTCACGGATTCCAGGTAGGTGGGGGATTCTTGGCAGGCAATCAGACTACTAAAATATGGAGCGGGGAAGAGGGGAAAAACACACAAGGTCAAGCTTACTAGTGATTTGTAGGGGCATTTGTGACTCCATTTTAAGATGGTATGCCAAAATGTGCATTTTTATGGGGATATTCATTCAACGAATACTTGAGCATTGATTAGGTACAAAACATGGTTCTAGGAACTGAGGACATGTCTGTAAACCAAACTGCCGAAGTTCCCGGCCCCCCTGGAGCTTACACTCTAGAGGATGATGTGGACCATAGGTTTATTTTCCAAAAGGTCCTGTGTTTTAAAAATGCTCAGGAATCAAGATGCTAGACCTGTGGTCCTCAGTGTTGTGTACCAGCACCGCTGCAGGGGGGATCTGAAAAGTCCAGAGGAGAGCACCCATTCCTGAGATTCTGATTGGATGGATCTGTGATTGGGCTTGGGAATAAAGTTTTAAAGCTCCCACTCATTCTGATTCAGTTAAACTTGAGACAAACTGCTTCTTTGAAAAGAGAGTAGAGATGAAATTTCCCTCACTAAGAGCCAGGAAGAATTGGCCACTTCCTTCTTGCACAAATACTAGGCAATGGGATTTTCAGTTCTGAATATCCCAGGAGAGAAGCATCAACAGTCTTCCCTTATTTTTATTAGCTTAGAATAGCGCCCCACAAACAGTCCTTCCAAAATATTTAAGTGTGTGCCTATATATTTTAAGGTTTAGAAGAAAGAGGGGGAATTATCATCATCATCTAACATGAGACCCCAAATGATTTCCTAATTGTTTTTCCAAATACTACTACTACTACTACTACTACCACTAATGTAAGTTTTTATTATATGCCACTTTACAAGTATTCATTTTACAAGCTGGGCAGTTCACAAGTGTTCTCCTATGTAATACTCCCAAGAACCTTGTAAGGTATTGTTATACTTACTTAGCAGGGGAGAGAGGAAGGCTCTGATGGGTCAAGGAGCTTGCTCAAGGTCACACAGAGATCGGACCAGCTGGAACCTACAGCATAGCCGGGCTCTCAACCCCCGACCACAGCGGCATCCCATCCTTTCCGAGTCTCTCCCCCTCCCTCCCTTGTTTAGCACTTGGAATCTCTTCTGTGACCACTGATGAACATACATGTTATAAATCACTGAGGAAAAGAGATTGCTCAGGAGACTCTCGATTTGGGGGCTATTTGGGGAGGGCAGCCTTCCCGGTCCAGGGTATTCTTTCTGTCCGCAGCGCCCGAGCTCATTCCGAAACCTAGCAGGGATAGACACTCGCTCGGCTCGCACCCCAGGGCGGCACCGATCCCCGGGCTGTGAATTCCGAGAGGTGGCTGCCTAGCCCCCGCCCCCGCGGGCGCCTGGGCACGGGTGCAGATTGCAGACCAGTGGGTGATCCTAATCTCCTGGTCCCGGGGCGGGTCCGAAGATTCTCGGCTCCAGTCAGGAACTTGAGCCTGGGACATATGACTGGCTCCAGAAATCTTTGCTGGAAAGACAGTTAAAAGGCTAGGTCCCTTTTAGGTTGAAGACTTGAACCCCCTCTAGCCATTTGGCTTCTTCCCCTTGCCTATAGTTTTCCCTGTGTCCTAAAAAGTTGGCTCCAAAGTTTAAGGGTATCCCAAAGTTCACAGGGATCCCAGGTAGGGGGCCAGAGGGCCCAGAGTCACAGAGACACTGGCAGTCCCAGCTCCAGGACCCGAACCGGTGGGCGCAGGCAGGCAAGGAGCAGGCGCGCGCCTCCAGGTCCGGTCCGGCTCCGGGGCACTAGGGGGAAGTACCGCGGGGGGTGGGGGCGGGGGTGGACAAGCCCGGCAGAGTGACCGACAGCGTGGCCAGCCACTGGCCGAGGGCGGTGAGGAGGCTTAGGCCGGCGTGAGTGCGTGCGTGTGTGCGTGAGTGTGAGCGCGAGGGTGAGTGTGTGAGCCTCCCCAACCCCCACCTGTTTGAAATGGTTTTAAAATGCCAAAGCCAGATTGACCCTATTTCAAAAGTTGCAAACAGTCGGAGTAAAACACGTGCACATGCCCCTACCCCCAAGTGATTAGCTGACTCCAGGGCAAGGAGAGAAAAGGAGGAATGAGAGGGGTGCGTGGAGGGGGCTAAATTGCGTTCTGGAGGATCGGTTTTAGGACCCAACGGGAAGCACACTGGAATCTCTCCCTCCGGGAAGGAGAGGTGGGGCGGGCCGGCCGGCAGGCGGCCTCGGGGCGCATGCGCGCGCGTCTCCTCTCGCCGGCCGCTGCGCTCGGCGGCGCGGAATAGAATGAACTGTAACAAAACAAGTCGAGCCTTTGTATCTGCTTAAAGGGGCCGCAGGCACTTCCCTCCTGTCCCCCCCCAACCCCCGCTCGGCAACCGCGTCTCCAGGGCTCCCAGCAACTGGCTGGAAGGGCTTCCCTCACCCTCAGGAACAGCCCGCCAGCGAGGAAAGGCGAGCCAGGCGGGAGGCAAAGAGGAGACACCGCATTTCTAAGAGGCAAGAAAGGAAGGAAGGGAGGGAAAAAAAAAAAAAAATAACCCAAGCGGCGCTGAGTGGACTCTGGTCCGGGAGAGAACGATCGGGCGCCGGAACGTGGACCGAGAAGCACCGGAATGCAAACAAAGCTCACGGGCGCCAGTGCAGGGCTCGCGGGGAAGCTCAGAAAGTTTGTTTTATGATGGCTTGAGTGCGCGAGTGTGTGCAGGGGAGCGAGGCTGCCAAGTTTCTCTCCCGTTGCGTTATTTTGGGGGAGACGTCTCTCCCATGAACGAGCGGAGGCTTGGGGGCTTGTGCTGTGGGGGCACCTGTCTCTCATTGTATTATTTTTTTTGTGTTGGGGTGGGGAGGAGGGGTGTAACCCATCATGTCGAGAGTGATCCAGAAGAAGAACCACTGGACTAGCAAGGTTCACGAATGCACCGTAAAGCGGGGACCCCAGGGTGAGCTGGGGGTGACGGTGCTGGGGGGCGCGGAGAATGGGGAGTTTCCATATGTCGGAGCGGTGGCCGCGGCCGAAGCAGCGGGGCTTCCCGGCGGCGGCGAGGGCCCTCGGCTGGGCGAAGGGGAGCTGCTTCTGGAGGTGCAGGGGATCCGGGTGTCCGGCTTGCCCCGCTATGATGTGCTGGGAGTCATCGACAGCTGCAAGGAGGCCGTCACCTTCAAAGCCGTCAGACAAGGTAAGACGGGACGCGCCTCCGGGAGGCGCCCGCAAAACGGGTAGAGGCCTGCGGAGTGCCCCCCGCCGCATCTCCGTTTCCCGCGTTCCTGCTCCGAGCGCAGCTTAGAGGGGAAGTCGGGGCCGTGCGCCCTGTCGTGGTGAAATAAGCAAAGTTGTTGAGAGATGGTGGGTTGTTTGCCCACCTGCGTTGGAAAGAGGGGGTTGGATTTGCGCCGGGAAGCGGGGAGACTTTTCCCAGGCCTGGTTTGCCAACCTGTTATCTCAGCCACCAAGTACAGCGCAGCTTCCCCTGTGCGGGGAGGAGAGTTGGGAAACTGAGGCAGGGGCAAAGTGGACGGTCGGCGGGCCCCTCTGGGGAGTGATGCAGCAGGCGCAGCCACTGCATTCCTTTCCCACTTATCAGTTCACAGACCGGGAGAATGGGTATGAACGAGAAGAGGGGTCTGTGGTTACTGACCTCCTCCATCACGAAATCGGCTTCACCCGGCATCCCTCCAGGTGGGTTGGGGTACGACCGCCCTGCGGTTCCTGTGCCCGCCGCCTGAAGATCCTGCATTCACCCCGGAGCTGGATGACGCATGTGTCTCGGTCGTGTGGCCCAGCCCCAGGCGTGGGGGGAGGGAAAGAAGGAGTATTTCTGTCCGCGCGAATCAAGCCCAAATTTTTGCTGCCTCCACCACCATCACCATCGTTATCGTTGATAATGATAATGGTAGCTAATCTCTTATCTGTTAGCTTACTACGTGCCAGATTCTGTGTTGAATGCTTTCCTTGGCTGTTTTATTCTGACTCACAATTCTGAGAGCGAGTTGTTTTTATAAACCTCAGGTTACAGGTAAGGAAACCGGGATTGACATTGGATAAGTTACTTGCCCAAGGTCACACAGGTATCAGAAGTGAGGGTTTGAGTCCTTAATGCAAGCCGAGGAGGAAGAGGTGGGGGATGACCCTCCTGGGCTGGAGGGCTTGATTTCTGGGGAGGGAATGAAGGCAGATTCCTCTCTTAGAAGCTTATAGAGAAGTACCCACGTCTTTGATGACTGCTGGTGGTGGGGAGTCCCTTGCATCTCAGTTTGGTTCAGGCAAGGGGCTGTCCCTATTATCAGTCCAACAGAGAAGGACTTGATTCCCTTAAAGGATCACTTGCACCACCAAGTACTGACACAGGTTCCCCTCCATGAAAGCACCAGAGGAGGTGGCAAAGTTGAGTGTGGTGAAAAGTTCCCATATGTGCCTGAGGGCCTGGAAGGGCAAGCAGCAGCTGCAGGAATGTGTTAAAGGATAGGAGGGCTGGGCTGGGTTGAGCAGGTCCTTGGGAAAAGGCCTGTTCCAGATGAAACAGAGGAGGGGGCAGAAGGAATTATCAGGCCTTTTGGTAGTTTGGGGAGCGATAGACGGACAGTTACGAAAAGCTTCTGCCATTTATGTCCTCATCTTCCACTTGGACACCTCCTCCAGGAAGCCCTCCAGTATCTGAACAAACCCTTCTTCCTTTGGGCTCCCCTAAATGTGTACTTTGTAGCTTTTTACTTACTCTGAACTATGAGTTAGGCCCCTTTTCTCATTTCCATACAAGAGACTGTGCCTCATTCATTGTGCATTTCCCCAGGCTTTGCTTGAGGTCTAACACTTCCTTTCCCTGAGAGTGTGTCCTCATCTGTAACCTGGCTTTCATTTAGGTATTACATAAGCTAATAAGTGGAAAGTGTGCAGAACAGGGCCTGGCACATAGTAAGTTCCCAATGAAGATGAGCTATTACTATGTTCAATTTAATTTGACCAGTGATTTATTTCTAAGCCTAGCTCTTGGTGTTCGGAACCTGGATTATGAATTCAATGCCAGTACCTGGATTGTTTGAACTTAATAGAACTGTAGAGGAAACACCGTGTCAAAGCATTTGATGGGAGCAGCCACAGGTCTCGGTGCAGGGGTGTTTTGGAGAAAGGGTTGGCAGAAGGACCTATCCGTCTATTATCTGTCTAGTGGGTCCTGTATCGGGGCTTGTTTTTAACGTGCAATATGCTGCGTGTGGCTGAACCTCTTCTGTCCACCAGTAATCAAAGATCCAAGAGGCATTGTGCCTCATCATGGAACTTAGGAAGGGTGCGTCAGATAATCAAGTGTGTTTGGAATCAGACCCCTCTGGATGGAAAGGAAACGGTACTGTCTCCAAATGTTATTTCCCTTCACCCAGAACCATTCTGTGTGCTGCATAGGATTGTTCCTAGCAGGTGCATGCGTTTGTGTGTGTGTGTGTGTGTGTGTGTGTGTAAATCTACTTGTTCTACTCAGGATAGCGTAAAGATGTGGCTGGAATCCACCACAGTGTGAAAGCTACTATTTTATGGGATAATTACATGGGCACAGTTCTTCTTCCAACATCTTCATTACAGAAACATGGCACTAGGAAGCATTTCACTAGTCTTCTGTCCCCTTCGTAGCAAGAATATGATTTAAATTATACGACAGGATTGCTCTTACCATGTCTTCATTACTGTGTTGTAATCATATTAGATAGACTCATCCTTGGTATGTGGTAAAGGAAAATGTTACTTTTGTGTTGTCTGCACCCTGAGCTAGCCACTCCCAGGGACAGAGGGAACTTTGGGTGCCGTCTGTATGGAAATGTCACGGTCTTCTTGTGGGAGAAAATTCTGCTGTTTCTATTTCATGGCAGCTCCCTGGAAAGATGCACAGACTAAAATAGTCTGTGGCAAATGGTATTATATGAAGTAGGACTAGATTGTGAAGGAACGAAGCTAAGTGGATCCACCAGGTTGCACTTGGTTCATTTTATTTTATTTATTTGTTTTAAGATTTTATTTATTTATTTGACAGAGAGAGAGAGAGAGGGAGAGCACAAGCAGGGGGTAGCTACAGGCAGAGGGAGAAAGAGGCCCCCTGCTGAGCCAGAGCCCAACTCAGGGCTTGATCCCAGGACCCTGGGATCACTAGAACTTGGTTCATTTTAGATGGGGAAGACAGTCTTTTGTCACAAAGTGCCTAAAAATATTTACAGATATATATAAATGTTACATAAAATATGTTATTTTGAAAAAAATGTTATTTTGTGTATTATTTATGTATAAAATATAGCATATACTTTATACTTTGTAAGTATATATTTACTTGTGAAATGGATAGGTCTTTAGTATATAGTTTGATGAGTTTTGACAAATGTATATGTTCATTTTATCTTTTTTTTTTTTTTAAGATTTTTATTTATTTATTTGACAGAGAGAGACACAGCGAGAGAGGGAACACAAGCAGGGGGAGTGGGAGAGGGAGAAGCAGGCTTCCCGCTGAGCAGGGAGCCCGATGCAGGGCTCGATCCCAGGACTCTGGGATCATGACCAGAGCGGAAGGCAGTCGCTTAACCGACTGAGCCACCCAGGCGCCCCATGTTCATTTTATCTTCACCCAAATCAGGATATAGAACATTTCCATTACTCTAGAAATTTCCCTTCTGTCCCTTTCCAGTCAGTTTCTCACACCTCCTCCAGAGGCAAAGGCTATCTGATTTCCTGTACCATGGATTAATTTTGTCTATTATTGAAGTTCATATAAATGAAATAATGCCATATGTAGTCTTTTGTGTCTGACTTTTTTCAAAGTATTTTGGAGATTTCATATTGTGTCATTGTTCTTTTTTTAAGTATATATATATATATATATATATTTATTTATTTATTTATTTTTAAGTAATCTCTTTACCCATCGTGAGGCTCAAACTTACAGCCCCACGATCAAGAGTCACGTGCTCTACCGGCTGAGCCAGCCAGGCACCCCTCTTTGTTCTTTTTTATTGTTGAGTAGTATTCCATCGTACGTTATGTGTTTATGTACGGGTATGTATATACACACACACCAGTTTTTAAAATAGTTTTGCTTGTCATTGGACTTTGGACTATTTACCGTTTTTCGCTCTTAGGAATATAGGTGCCAAAAATATTCCAATTGCTCCGCATCTTTGCCAGTCTTTAATCTTGTCTGTCGTTTGAATTGTAGCCATCCTAGGATACGTGGAAAAAGAAAAAAAGGTAATTAAGTTAATTTTGTTATAGGATATAAGCTAAGCACTTGCTTTAGAATGTGCCAGGCACTTGGTGAAGCTAGTGCTTTATGGACATTTTGTTTTTTATTCCTCGCCCCTGGACGCAGATGTCGGACACTGAGGCCCTCGGAGTTTGGGGAGCCTTTCCAGGAGTCACACAAGTGGCAGAAGTCGGGTCGGCGGTCAGCTGTGCTGGGTGCCGAAAGCCCCGGCTCCTCATTCCTGGGTCAGCGCGTCTCAGAGTAGGGCCCGCACACCCGTGGCCATAGCGTCCCCTGCGAACTGGTTAGGCAAATTCCTGGACCTGCCCCATCCCTAGCGACTCCCCACTCCGGAGGCGGAGCCAGTGGGGCAGTTTTTGAGAAGCCCTCAGGTGATTGGGAGGCTTGCACAGTTTTGAGAATCACTGTCCCAAGGCACAGCCTGACATTGAGAATATGACCCATGGAGCAGCTGACCTGGGCTCTGGAGCATGCTTTGCCTGCTAGTGCTGTCCTCTCTGGCAAGTCACCCTCTCCGGGCCGACGTTTCTTCATTCCTTCACTTCTTCATGCCAGAAATAAAATGGGCATGCCCTGGAGGTCCTTTGCACTCCTAAAATGCTGCACTTCCTTGAGTAACCCCGACTCCAAAAGCTTAAGATGGTGTGATTGTAGTTTCCCAAAGTGGTGATATCGTAGGTCATGCTTACATATTTTCATAGGTGAAGTCTGGTTTTGCAAATTGCCCAGAAGCTGAAACTGCCCACATTTTAGACAGAGCAGGGACAATAGATAAGACACAGCTTAAAAACCACACCACCACCACCAGAACATTTCCCTCACTGTAATGAGGGAATTATGATCACACACAATTGAATAGAGTTCTTTGTGCCTTTTTGTGTTTTGTTCTGATGTGTGTCTATTTTGACCAATTGGAATATACTACAACAGCTCTGTAATATTCTCATTTTATTTTATTTTTTAAAAACTTTATTTATTTGAGAGAGGGAGGGAGAGGG